ATGTTTAGTTTTATTTTAAATGATTGTGTTAAATGTAAACATTAGAAGATAAATACTTGTTGACTTCCAAAATATTCCTTGTTATTTACCTACCTTTGGGGGTATAGTGATGGCTTTTTGTTATAGTTTTGAAAACGACTGCTAAAGTTGAAAAAACAAACTGGACAAATTATTCTGCCATGAAATAATCCATAATAGAAACAAGTTAGATTGCTATATTCGGCACTGCCGAATCTTAAATACCCTCCACCTGCAAACTACTTTTTATTAAAACCCAAAATAAATATGTTATAGGGCCGAATTTATAGTTTATACTAAAGAAATAAATTTTACTTAAGTATTAAAGTACATACTAAGTACTTAAGTACTTATTTTCCTTATGGAGAATTGTAAAACCCGGCACATGTTTTGTTTCCGTAATTAAGATACTATTTATCATTTTGTAACTTATTTATGCATGTATGTATGTAACTAATTTTGATTAGGACAAGAAACATTTGTATTAAGTGATTTTCAGATATCGACCGATTATTCTTCGACCTATTATGTTCCGATCCTGCCAATAACTTATATGGGAACTATGACCAATAATGTACCAATTCGAAAAAAAAATTCAAAATGATTTATCTATACACAGAACATACTCATGTCGAGTTTAATAATAAATTATGTGGTATTATGTGGTTTTCAGAAGTGAACCTTATATGGGAGCTAGTTATATACCGACGCTGAAAAAATTCCTTATATGGAATGTAACCAATTATGGACCGATGTGGAAATTTTTCACGAATGATTTACATATACAAAACAAATTCACGTCGAGTTTTACCCTGATAGCTTCATTTATCAATGAATTATGCGCATTTAAGTGATTTTCGGATGCGGACCTTATATGTGAGCTATGACCAATTATGGACCGATCCGAAAAAAAAATTCGTAAAATAATTAATATTTACACACAAAACATATTCATATCGAATTTTATCCCGATAGCTTTATTTATCAATGAATTAAGCTTGTTTAAGCGATTTTAGGATGTGGACCTTATATGGGAGCTAGTACCAATTGTGAACTGATCCGGAAAAAATTTCACTGAATGATTTATATCTATATACAGAACATATTCACCTCGGGTTCTACCCTGATAGCTTTATTAATCAATGAATTATGCGCATTTGAGTGATTTTCGGATGTGGACCTTATATGGGAGCTATGACCGATTATGGACCGATCCGGAACAAATTTCGTAGAGTAATTCATATACACACAAAACACATTCATGTCGAATTTTATCCAGATTGCTTTATTTATCTATGAATTATGCTCGTTTAAGTAATTTTCGGATGTGAACCTTATATGGGAGCTATGACCAATTATGGACCGATCCGGAAAAAACTTCCGTAGAATGATTTATGTATATACAAAACATATTCATGTCGAATTTTATCCCGATAGCTTTATTTTTCAATAAAATATGTTCATTTAAGTGATTTTCGAAAGTGGACCTTATATGGGAGCTATGACCAATTGTGGACCGATACAGATCTAAGTCGGTAGTTTTAATTCCTGTTCATATAAAGTCAATATGTACAAAATTTTGTGTTGATACCGATATATTTGAGGAAGTTATTAACGATAAATTAATTTCCAGGAATATGTACCTTTGTATGGGGGCTATGGGAAATTTGGGATCGATTGTTACAATTTTAAACATAATTAATCTATAGATGAACAAAATAATCTGTGACAAAATTTGTCGAATTATCTTTGGTAGTTTCTGAGAAAACTACTCAAGAATTGGGGAAAAAAACTTAATTTTTTTGAGGTAGTCTGAAATTTTTACTCATAACTTTTTACGTTGTGAACCGCTTTTGCTGATTTTCAATACCAAACTGCTTAGGAAAACAATGAATACTCTCAGTGAATTTGGTTGATTTTATTTGCTTAGTTTTTGCGTGAGCGTGTTTTAACCAGACAGACAGACAGACGGACAGACGGACATAGCTAAATCGACTCAGAATTTCATAAGGATCCAGAATATATATACTTTGTTGGGTCTAAGATGAATATTTTTTGGTGTTACACACGGAATGACAAACTTATATATACCCTCTATCACCACTGATGGTGGTGGAGGGTATAAAAAGTAGACGCCCATCGGTAGTGGCTAGTCGAAATTCGTATTCTATCAAGCAAAGGGCCAAAATATGGTGATTGCTACTTTGTTGCAATGTTTGGTTCCGGTACTAACCATTGTGGGCTTTATGTCGACTATAGATCCCTTAGAGTTGTCACACTATATGAATCATTTAAATGAACCCTGCAAAGATTTATTGCGTCATAATATAAAAGAAGAAAAACAACATTTATTTGAAGGTATTCCTTCCGATCACTTGATATTCTTGCGTCTGTATCAGGAATGGAAAAATAACTATAGAAATGAGGAATTGGTTTTTGATTTTAATATAATTTCATTTTGAATGGCCTGTTGGAACAGGACTGCAATATCCGTACTCAATTGGTTAGATCCTTAAGATCATCACAATTAATATATAGCAAAGTTGATCTTAGTATGCATTATATAAATCTCAAATCGAATTGTTCTGTCATTAAAGCCGCCCTTGTTGGTGAGATGTATCCTAATATATGCGTATTGGATTCTAAGGTTAATCGTATTAAATCGCCCTGCAGAAGACAAATGGTTTTACATCCAAATTCTGTTTTGCGACATTGGATTTATGTGTTTGATGAATTCTGGTTCACCGTGGATAGTGTACGGAAAAGAAAAAATGGTTCCAGTTGTAATGGTGTCGAATGTAATACAATTGTGACGCCCATTACTACAGTTGATTTGTTTGCAGGTGAGTTTAGTAGACTAATAATAATATCCGAGGAAAATTTTAATTAGTTCCACAACTATGTACGTAAAATTCATAATTATTCTGACTCACCTTTAATCAGTTAAAATATTTTTGTACAGGATGTAGGTATGAAACCAGCAGCTAACTATCCATTCTCCTTCTCTCAATCTATATATAAAAGGCTTGCGTGACTGATTGACTGACTGATTCATCATCGCCCAGCCCAAACCGTTAAAGCTAGAATCATGAAATTTTGGTTATAGGTTCCTTTGGCATTGTATAGATCCACTAAGAAGGGATTTTTGGAAACTCGAACGGTTAAGGCAAGAAATGGGTAAAAAAGGGTGAATTAGTATCCTTTATATCTCCTAAAGAAGCAAAGATATAAATAAAATTCCAAATGTATCCTCTATTATACAAAAAAATAATTGATAGATGTCTGGTAATTTTTTTAAAAATCTAGACTTTATAGAGCTAAAAGGGTAAAAACTGTCCCCATAGAACCTTCTCTTAGCCTATTTATGTTCGAAACAAATGACCTTACAAATAAAACTTTAAATTTATCCTATTCTAATTAAAGTCTATTAGAAATCCTTTCGGTACTTTTTAGAAATTCGGGTAATGAAGGGATGAAAACGGTGTCTAAAATTGGCTTGCTGCCCGCTACTTCGTTAGCGATAAATTTTTGGCATCAATTAAATTTTGAAAACAACACATTAAACGATTTTTTAATTAATATGGAATAAACATATGTAAATAATTTTCACATATGTAATTGCTGAAGTTTTGTATTCTCAAAATATCATACAATTTATTAAACTTATTTTTATCACTTCATATCACCTTTTTACTATAATTTAAATAAATTCATTTTCATCAACATCCGAGATTAACAGGACAGAGCTACGTGCAACTTTGTGGCTTTGCCTCCGTACAAAAAAAATACACACCTAAAACTAAAACGGCCCTAACTAAAAACAAGTAAGAAATTATAGCCGGGCGAGGCCGACCATATAATACCCTACACCTGTTATAAAAAATGTGATTTAGTTTTCATAATAATGCATTTAAGTTGAATGGTACCTGGCCTCAGATATACTTAAGCCATTTATTGTTAAGTCATATTTTGAAGGGGCCTTTGTATAGGGGCTAGGGTCAAATGAGGCCCTATAATTATAAAATTCATCAGGATCATCAAGGCTAGTATAGAACTTGGTTTTGCAGCTTTTTGTCGAGATACGAGTATATTAAACATAATTATGAACTTATTGTTGACCATTTTCTTATTGTTGACCATTTTCAATAAGCTTAGTCTCTGGTACAATAGAAGATAATGTACCAAATTTCATTGAATTATCTTCGAAATTGCGACCTGTAGTTTGATTACAAGGTTTACAAGCCATATTCGGGGGTTCAGTTGTATGGGGGCTAGGTGAAATAATGGACCGATCTTTCAATAGGCTTCGTCCCTGGGACAATAGAAGATAATGTACCAAATTTCATTGGATTATTTTCAAAGTTGCGACCTGTAGTTTGATTACAAGGTTTACATGGACGGACGGACATAGCTAAATCGACTCAGAAATTGATTCGAAGCCGATTGGTATACTTTAAGGTGGGTATAGGACCGATATTATTGTGCGTTTCAAACATCAGCAAAAACCCAACATACCCTCCCCACTAAAGTGGTGTAGGGTATAAAAAAATTCAAAATCGACATTTTAATTTTCTGATGTATTACATCAAGCCAAATGTTCAAAAAAAATTAGACTCAGCTGGTCAAAATTAGCGATTTTATTGACGAAAAACAAAGGGCCCTATCTTCAAAAGCAGTTTTATATAAAGGCTAAAAGACGTAACTAATCATTTGTAAATACAAATTGTAAATTGTCAAAACAACTGTGAAATTTACCGTTAAAAAATGTCTTTTGAAGAAAAACAAATCGCGCTGATTGAAACTAAACTTTCCATTTTAAATAGTTTTTTGCTTCTCCTGTAGAATTTAAAAATGTTAAATAGGGATTTTTACGTTTTATGTGACGATATGTGTATAAAAACAAATTATATTGTTTCTATCATACAACTAACTAAATTGTTATTTTTGTATAGTGAAGGTTAGGTTAGGTTAGGTAGGCAGGTCGTCCTCGCGATGTCATCACTGGGGACACACTTGGGTCCAGAATTTTGATCCCTTTGTGATACCTGAAACGAGAGAGAACGGTCGGCGTATTAGTACACTTCAACCTAATCACTCTGGTTTCCACCGAACCAGTTTGTCGCACGAATATAGGAATCTATCTTTCGGATATCAACCTCCGATAGATCCGTTAAGTCATGCAGAAAATAGCTACCTAGCAGACCCACTCTGTGATCAGCTAGGGCAGGACAATGACAGAGGAAGTGAGTTATACTCTCTTCTTCCTCTTCATCCTGGCAGCTCCTGCAGAAGTCGTTACTGGGTAAGTTCAGTCTTCTTGCATGGAGTCCGAAAGGCCAGTGGCCAGTTACCACTGCCGTTAAGTTCCGTAGATTAACTCTCGGAATGTAGAAAAGGGCTTGGGATCTTTGTGGGTCGTAAGATGGCCACATGATCCTTGCCTGTCTACAGGTGGCTTCAGTCGACCATCTGCATTGCGCAAGCTCATATAGTTTTTCACGTATCGAGCGTTTGCAGGTTGAAAGCGGTATACCGACAAAAGGGTCGGTATGCTCTCCTGCAAGCGAGGAGCCTAACTTGGCAAGAGAGTCCGCGATGGTATTACCAGGAATTTGCTGATGTCCTGGAATCCAATACAGTCCTATTGTGGAATGTTTCGCCATCTCGTTAAGGGATGCCCGGCATTCTAGGACTAAGTTTGACGTCGTGTAGACACCACTTAGAACCTTAAGGGCTGCCTGGCTGTCGGTATAAATTCGAATATTAACACCGTATATTCGATAAAACCTGAGCCAGTTTGCAGCCCGTTTAATGGCTGATAGTTCAGCCTGAAGGACGCTACATTGGTCAGGAAGCTTGAATGATACTTCCGTTCCCGAATGTGCTATGTAAAAGCCACCGCCTACACCATGGTTTGATTTTGAGCCATCAGTGAAAACCTTATACGATCCATCATGGAGGATTGTTTCCATCACATTTGGGTCGTCTCGGATATTCACCGAAAAGCTTCTATCAAAAGACGGTTTGGCGATGCAATAGTCGATATTGCCAGGAATTTCTCCTAGACAATTGAGGATGGTGGAGTGACCTGACTGAATCATATGCCACATACCAATTGTATTGAGTCTAATAGCCGCGTTGAGGGCAACCTCTTGGGCCATTAGATCAATAGGTAGCCATCCCATCATGACAAAGAGAGCCTTTGATGGGGTGGTGCGGAGAGCCCCCGTTATCAACAGAGCTGATGTGCGAAGGATTCCCTCAAAACGTTTGCGGTGTGAGTCCTTTTGTACAGACTTCCACCATACAAGTGCACCGTACAATAGTATGGGCTTGACTACCATGTCGAAGAGCCATTTGGTATTCTTGGGGTTTATGCCCCATGATTTGCCAATTGCTCTTTTACACGAGTATAAGGCCGCAGCCGCTTTTGATACTCTAGATTGAGTGTTCAAATGCCATGATAGTTTTGAATCTAGGATTACTCCCAGATATTTAGCACTATCCGATAACTTCAATTCTATCCCATTCAGTCGTGGGAGAGTGAAGGTGGGTATCTTGTACTTCTTAGTGAAGAGAACAAGTTCCGTTTTCGATGGATTAACACCAAGGCCACTGACGTTGCTCCATGTACTGAGTGTCCTGAGTGCAATCTCCATCCTTTGCGATAAAGTATCCAGATATTTGCCAGATACTACTACAGACACATCGTCTGCATATGCTATTACCTTAAATCCCATAGATCTAAGATCCATAAGAAGTGGGTTCAACGCTAGGTTCCACAGAAGTGGAGATAGAACTCCACCTTGTGGGGTACCGCGATTTGCCACTTTTGTGACATTTGCTGCTCCCATTTCGGAGATAATGATTCGCTGAGTCAGTAATCTCTTGATGAAAGCTGTTATTGGTTGGTTAATACCCAGACCAGTTAGGGCCGTTGTTATCGACCCAGGGTGAACATTGTTGAAAGCCCCCTCGATGTCCAAGAAGGCAACCAGTGTATATTCCCCTTGCGCTATTGTCTTTTCAATGTGACAAACTAGCGAATGTAATGCAGTCTCAACAGATTTTCCCTTCATGTAGGCATGTTGAGATGCTGATAAATGGTCAGGTTTGATATGTATTCTGAGATGCAGATCAATTATCCTTTCCAAAGTTTTGAGAAGAAAGGAGGATAGACTAATTGGTCTAAAATCCTTTGGCTTCGTGTGAGAGGTCTTTCCTCCTTTCGGAATGAAGACCACTGTGCACTTGGTCCAGGGTTCGGGTAAATAAGACCATTTTAAACAGGCATCATATATCCGCGTTAGCCAAGGCATAAGATGGACAGCATTGTATTGCAAATCCGCAGGTATTATACCGTCAGGACCCGGTGATTTGTAGGGGTCGAAGCTGTTTATCGCCCAGTTGATTTTATCTTCATTTATGGATATTCCTGTATCAGCTGGGAGATCTGTAAACTGCATGTCAGTCCCGTTTTCCGGAGATTGACAGCCTGGAAAGTGAGTTGCCATTAAAACTTCTAAGGTTTCTTGGCTACTGGTCGTCCAACTGCCACAAGGTTTCTGAATGAAACTTGGGACAGGAGGAGTAGATGATAAGATTTTGCGCAGACGACTGGTCTCAGAAGAACCTTCCACGCCGCTACAGAAGGTTTTCCAAGATTTGCGCTTTGCATTTCTTACCAGGTTCTTGAAACGATTAACCGAGGTCTTGTAAGAAATCCAGTTTCCTGTTTTCTTTGCCTCGTTAAACAGTCTGCGCGTCTCTTTTCGAGATTTCGCAATGTCCGCAGACCACCATGGGGGTCTGCATCTGCCTTTGTGCATATTCTGTTTACAAGACAGTGAAGTCGCGTGTTTGAAAGCTTGATTTATGGTTTCAACCGCGTTTTCTATGTCCGATCGGTTTTCGATGATCGGTACATCCTGGAGTGAACGTGAGATTAGCCCCATTTGCATTTCCCAATCTGTTCGTCTCCTGTTTATAAAGGGCTTTGGGGCCACTTTGTCAACTACGATTTCAAAATCGATGTACTGATGGTCAGAGAAAGAGCAGTCACTTGGGACTCTCCATCCCCTTATCCTATCATGATGCATAGAACTAACCAGCGTAATGTCAAGAACTTCCCTTCTGTTTGAAACAATAAAGGTCGGTTCGGATCCTGTATTTAAAATATCAAGATTATTGCTTAGAATGAAGTTAAAGATTGACTCACCTCTAGCGTTTATGTCCGAGCTTCCCCAGACAGTGTGATGGGCATTGGCATCAGCCCCCATGATGATCGGCATGCTTTTCGAGTTTGCCATCTCTATGGATCTGCAGACCAGGTTGTTCGGTGGCTGGTCGCTGTGGTCGTGAGCCATGTACGCCGAGATAACCAATATAGCACCTACACTGGTCTCCCATATGGCTGCTACGGTGTCTTCATCACTGAAATCAGAAAGAATGAAGATGTTGAGACTGCTTTTGGCTACTATACAGGATCGAATCTTACCAGATCCTTTTGCGTACAATAGCTTAAAGCTTTTCATGCCTATTCCACTCACCCTTTCTTGGTGAATCCAGGGTTCCTGGACTAGGGCGAGCTCCTCCCCACTTACACCCATTCGGAGGAGCAGTGCAGCCGAGGCTGCTTTGGAGTGGTGGAGATTAATTTGGGTTACTCTCACCATCTCCTTTTTTGTCTTTACGCAACACTGTGACGTTGGCGTCCTCCTTGTCAGAGGCAAGGAGATCGTCCTCGTCAACTGACTCTTCCCCCTCCTTAACCAACTTAGAAGTTGATTGACTCAGCGAAAGGTCAGTCTCGTCGCAAGACATATCCGCAGCGGATTGGTCAGGATCGGGATCATCCTGTTCCAATAGTCCCTTGTCATCGCCTCGGTAGACACGGAGGAAGATCGACTCGAAGCCGTAGTAGACCTTCCCTTGTTTCTCACGAAGCGGCGCCAAAGACTCCTGGTTCAGGATCACAACAATCCTTCTGGAGCTTCCTACAGGTTGAGAAACCCTGACGACCTTCCAATCTTGAGTTGGAAGATCCAGATTGCCAACCTGTAGAAGCTCCAGTATCGCTGCCTTTTTATGTGGTTCCGCAGGAATTATGGCGGTGGATCTAGGCCTTCGTGGGATCTCGTCCACAGAGACCACTTCCAGCTTAGCACCTTCCCACGGATCCTTTATCAGCGACACAGCCTGCTTCAGGAGCAAAGCTGAGCGCTCGTTGGAACAGGCCATTAGCTTCACTCTGTTGTGAAACCAACCGCCGTCCTCACACTGTGGGGGGGGACCAGGGTTCTGTTTAAGAACTTCCCAGAACACCCCCATCAGCTTTTTTCGCACTATGTCCCATCTGGATGGAGACATAGCGCCATCTATGTCACCCCTGTCGATGACAGCACGCGTGAATTGGTTCTCAACCACTTCACCGGAGGTCCTGTCATGCGGCTTGGGGGGCAACGGTTTCGGACGTTTTGTCCCGGGCTGCTGGCCCTGAAGATTAGTCTCCTCCTCAGAACGTTGCCGTTTAGGCGCGTCCTTAGACGTGAGGGGGGGACTCTTCTCCAGAACGGCCAATTTTCCCTTAGCCCATTCTAGAGAGGACTTGTCCTCTTTACTTAGCGACTCAACTGGCTTGCCAGCTAAGCGCGCTAGAATTTTGGCGGCGGAGCGCCGTTGTAGGAAGGCCCTTCTTGCTGGTGTTACGTGCCTGGGGGTCTTACTATTCGCCGTGTTGGCATTGGGAGATGCCGTTTGAGAACCCGAAATCTTGTTCGCAGTTCCCTCGTGCATAACCGGCACTGGGGTTGCTACCTTGGTTTTGGTGGCCTTAGTAGTCCCCGAAACAGGGGGTTTTATCGGCATTTTGCCAATACGGTACTTGGGGTGACGTCCAGAGGTGCCTCGCTGCTTATTTTGCTGCATCCAGCTTTGGAGCCAGATGCTGTTATTGTTTTGCGACTGCAGGATCCAGGCTTCCCTAAATCCGCAGACGCTTTTGTTTTGGGTTTGGCGCCGGTAGCATTCAGACTAGCCCGACCCGGTGTCTCCGCCGGACTAACCTGGGTGGCAGTAGCACTCGACTCTCCACAGCCTGTCGCCTTCGCCGTGGGGGTAGGGTCTCCGGAGATTATTAGGCCCCTTACCGGATACGCGGGGCACGGTTTCTTGTCGGACATTGGACATTAAAAACGGTGTGCATTTTATACTTGCTGCCAAGTATATGATTCTGCATATGATGTGCTTGCAGACCACCAAGCCGCCCAATGTGGGAACAGACGCTGGTGGATTTAGACGGACCGTCGTGGAGTTTAGGGATCTAAAGATCCCGAACGGACTGTACTGTCAAAAGATACACATCCGAAGGATGAGTAGAGATCTTTTGACAAGTACTTGGACTGGTAGCCGCCCCATCGGGGAGAAACAGACGCTACCAGTCGTGGGAAGGGTAGTTCTTAGTATGTGCTCGTCATGAGCCCCTCTGGCATGAGTAGCCCTACCAGCACGGCCTGCATGGGTCATCACACATAAGCCTTCGCATCGCGTCAAGATGACTACCCGTCGCGAAGTGAAAGATTTCTATATTTGACTGTATTATTGAACAAAATATGTATATTGAAATTTAAATTTTTTGTGTAAAAATATTTTTTATTACTGAGACCATTTTTTTGAGTACGGAGCCAAATAAGTATACCTTGCCTCGGGAACCGTTTTTGGAAAATTTTATTAAAAACTTTTGTAATTAAAATGTGGACGTATTTTGACACCTACAAAATTTCACTCTCATGGGTAATATTGACTAAAAAGGGCAAAATAAATAATATTTAAATTTAAGATCCAAAATGTTTTTAACAAAAATACTTTAATCACTGTATGTACATATATAATTCAATAATTCTGTCAGACATGCTTTCGAGAAGTTTCCTATTTAAATCAGCAAAATCCGTCCATAAATAACGGAGATATGAGCAAAAATCAAACACAATCTCTGAAATTTTCATCAGAAAAATACAATTTTTTGCATGATTTGACAAAAAAAAAACGTATGTTTGGATGTGTGTTGGTTTCATTGCAATGAAACAAAGCATGCTTTGCGTAGTTTTTTTTTGCGTTTTGTTTCGTTTGGCGTTGTTGTTGTTGTTTTGTTATAGCTAAAGTAATGATAGAGTCGGGAAAAATTAATAAATTGAAGTTTTATAAAATTAATTTATTTTAAAACACACTATGGTGAAGGGTATATAAGATTCTGCAAAGGCGAATATAGACTTCTTACTTGTTTGTTTCTGGATTTAATGTAAAAGAAAATTTAAAGAGTACCATTGAGAAAAAAGTACCTTCATATAGGTTTTAATTCACGTAGAACCGTTTATTATATTGTAGAAATCTCAAAAAGAGATATTATAGAAAATACAGAAAGTACCAGTTAAAGAATAAAAAGTACCAAAGTACCTTCATACACATTTCCTTTCATTCAGAACCCTGCATGCTAAATTTGATGTTTCTAAGACCAATATTATCGAAAATCCAAAAAGGACCTTTAACGTTTATTTAATATTTTTGGGAATAATTACTTTACAAATCTCTAAAATTACCGGCTGAGGAACGAAAAAGTAAAAAATATCCCTTTGTGCAGATTTCCATTCAACTGGAACCCTGTGTGTTTAATTTAATGCCTTTAAGTCCAATTATATAGAAAAATCAGAAAGTAGAGCGAAAAAGTACCAAAAGTCCCTTCCTATAGATTTCCACTCACTCTATATTTTATGTTTCTACGAAAACGAAACAAAAAAGAACCAAAAACACTTACTTTTTAATTTATATTTCAATATTATAGAAAACTCAAAAAGTACCAGCTGAAGAACACTCATACAGATTTCCATGAACAGAACCCTGCGTGTTTAATTTTATGTTTCTGACCAATATTATTGAAAATATAAAAAACACCTTTTGAAAAACTACAAAGTACCCAAAAAGTCCTCTTATATTATACCTTTTGAAGAACACTTTATCGTTCCATGTTGTATATTCTCATTAAACGTTTAATTAATATCAGTAAAGATCGAAAAAGTAACCAAAAGTCTCATATTATAGTGTATAATGCGTTTAGGAAGGCCTCTTTACTGCCACATTTTCCCGCTGCGAACTGCTGGCTGCCATGTTACCGCCAACCGCTATTGAAAATAAATTAACTTTTGTCATCTCGTATTCATTTAATCCGGATTATCTACATGGCGTTGCTCTTGCGGAATGGGCTAAAGGACTGTTAAAGTTGCATTTTTTGCTTTAAATGGGACATATGTAGATCTTCTTGATATTCTGTAAGTAATAATCATATATATTTTTAAAAACCTTTTATTTGGGAAAATATACTAGAGATCAGGATGCACTAATTTATTACATCATGCTAGAGATGTTTAGTTTTATTTTAAGTGATTGTGTTAAATGTAAACATTAGAGGATAAATACTTGTTGACTTCCAAAATATTCCTTGTTATTTACCTACCTTTGGGGGTATAGTGATGGCTTTTTGTTTTTGTTTTGAAAACAACTGCTAAAGTTGAAAAACAAACTGGACAAATTATTCTGCCATGAAATAATCCATAATAGAAAAAAGTAAGACGCCTATCGGTAGTGGGTAGTAGAAATTCGTATTCTATCAAGCAAAGGGCTAAAATAGGGTGATTGCTACTTTGTTGCAATGTTTGGTTCCGGCACTAACCATTGTGGGCTTTATGTCGACTATAGATCCCTTAGAGTTGTCACACTATATGAATCATTTAAATCATATACCGGCGTATAGAGAGGCAGATAAATAAATCACCACTACACACACAATATTGGCATTTTTTCAATGAAATTGCACTGAAAAAAATATTTGGTTATTTTTAATTTTGATGATTAAATTGCAGTAGTGTAAAATGCAAATATTTATAAACAAAATGTAATCAATGCACATAAGAATGATAATTTATTCACATAGAAACAACTTTTCAAATTAAATGTACAAAAAAGAATGAAACAAGATGAACTTATTTACTTTCATTGTTGAAAATTGTTTAGGGTGTACGTTGTTTTTATACCCACCATCAAAAAAGATGGGGGGTATATTGATTTTGTCATTCCGTTTGTAACACATCGAAATATTGCTCATAGACCCATAAAAGTATATATATTCCGAGTCCTTATTAAATTCTAAGACGATCTAGCCATGTCCGTCCGTCTGTCCGTCCGTCTGTCCGTCTGTCCGTCTGTCTGTTGAAATCACGATAGGGACCACACGAGAGGAGCTAGGCAGTTGAAATTTTGCATAAATATTCTCTATTGTTAAGGTTTGTTTGGTATTGAAAATGGGCAATATCGGTCCACTTTTTCGGATAGCCCCCATACAAGTGGACCTCCAAAAACAGCTTCAACGGGCATAACTGCTTCAGAAGTACAAGTATAGCGATGAAATTCGACATAAATAAGTTCCATATGAGCCAAAATCTTTCTACCAAATTTTTTCAGGATCGGCCCATAAATGACCCTACCCCCCATATAAGGTCCCCTTCTGAAAATGACTTTAACACTCATTACTGGCCACAAAATGCAAGTATAGCGATGAAATTCGACATAAATAAGTTTCATGTGAGCCTAAATCTTTTTACCAAATTTTTTGAGGATCGGTCCATAATTGACCCTACCCCTCATATAAGGTCCCCTTTAGAAAATTACTTTAACACTCATTACTGGTCCAAAAATGCGAGTATAGCGATGAAATTCGGTATAAATAAGATTCTTACGAACCGAAATCGCTCTGCGAATTTTTTTTTAAGATCGGCAAATAAATGACCCTACCCCCCATATAAGGTCCCCTTCTGAAAATGACTTTAACGCTCATTATTGGCTAAAAAATACGAATATAGCAATAAAATTTTACACAATT